TTCTTAGGATTTCCAATTTAGTGTTGAATTGGGGATTTTTAATTTGTTATTTTTCTAGTAATTTTTTTCCTCTGTTTTATTGATATAAGCAATTAGAAATATACACTTTCCCCTAAGTACCACTTTGGCTGCATCCCATAAATTTTGGCATGTTGTCTCATTGTTGTCATTTTCTTTAACGAAATTATCAATTGTTGCTATGATTTGTTCTTCACCCACTTGTTTTTTAGGATTAGATTATTTAATTTCCAATTATTTTTAATCTCTTTCCATTATCCATTATTGAATGCAATTTTTATTGCATTATGATCTGAAAAGGACTCATTTAGTATTTCTGTTTTTGCATTTGGTTGTGAGGTTTTTATACATTGTCAATTTTTGTGTGCCACTTTAAAGAATTTTGACCAAATTTGGTCAAGACACGCCTTGTCTCTGAGCAGTTCTTTGAGGTACGTGACATAAGTGACATAGGTGATTTATTATTCTTATTATTCCCATTGCATAAATGAGGAAGATGAAGATAAATGTCTTGCCCAGGGCCACACATATAGTCATTGGCAAAGCTGAAATATGTATCCAAGTCTTCTTACTCCAAAACCACGGAAGGAACATTGTTTAGTTGAATGAGCTTAGGACTCAGAATCAGGAAAAGTGGATTAAATTCTGACACCAACTCCTGTGTCTTTGAGCAAATTATTTAAAAATAATAATTATAACCAACATGTATATAGCGTGTGGTATGTGCCAGGCACTAAGTGCTTTATAATTATTATCTCACTTGATTTTATCCTCACAACAACCCTGAGAGGTAGGCACTATAATTATGCTCATTTATGTATAACTAACAAGTGCTCTATGAATGTCAACTATGTTTATATTAGTTAACCTCTCTTGTTCTCAGGTTCCTCATCTGTAAAATGGGAATAATAATAGCACCTACCTCTCAAGGTTCTAGTGAAGATCAAATGTGATAATATTTAGAAAGCTCTTTGCCAACCTTAAAGTGCTATTTAAATGCTTGTATTATTACTACTTCTAATCAGGTAGACAAATGTTTCCTATTTAAATAATGGAGTGTTTGTTAATCTAAACTTTTGTTCATACTAATTAATACTGATTAACTTTTATGCAGCTTGTGGGCAGCTAGAGTTCCGGACTGAAAGACTCATCTTCCTGAGTTCAAATCTGGCTTCTGATATTTACTTGCTGTGTGACCCTGGGCAAGTCATTTAACCCTATTTACCTCAGTTTCCTTATTTGTAAAGATGAGCTAGAGAAGGAAATGGCAAACCATTCCAAGATTTTGCCAAGAAACTCCCAAGTGGGGTCATGGAGAGTCAGACATGACTAAAATGACTAACCAGTAATATCCAGCTTAGTTTACTTCATTGTTACAGAGCCACCTTATCACACAAAAGTGGGTTATGGAGGCAAATGTGTTATTACCTTTGCCATACTTCATTTTGATTCATTTTAACAAACATTTAGTCAGTGCTTACTATGTTTCTGTCACTGGGCATACAAAGGCTAAAATGAAGCAATCCCTGCCCTAAGATACAACATGAGCAAAGATAAGTAAATGTAAGATATATATGAAATAAATGCAAAATTATTTCTGAAGAGCAAGACCATTAACAACTGGAGGGAACAACAAAGATCTTTAAAGAAAATTGGGATTCGAAGAAGCAGAAGTGGGACCATGTTCTAGGCATGGGGGATAGGAGTCAAGAGATAGAATGCTATTTTAGGGGAACCATGAGTGTACCCATTTGCCTCAAACATGAAATGTGTGAGAAGGAATAATGTGAAATAAATCTGGAGATGCATATAGAAGCCAGATTGTATATTGCTGTGTTGTTATAAGAGTTTAGTGGAAAACAGAACATTAAAATAGATATGACTAATATTATAAAATAAATATGTTTAATATAGATGAATAAACTTATGTAAAATTAAAACATTGTATATAAACATATACACGCACACATGCTTCACCCTGAAAATATAGACTGCACCACTAAAATGAGATATCTTTGAAGGAAACATGTATACATATATATGCATGCACGTGTATATATATAAATAAATATAAGTACAAAATATGCAAAATATCTAAATATGTATATATAAATATACAGTACACATTTTAATTATATATAGGAAAAATAACACTGTCTAGATGTCATCTGTAAAGGTTATACAAGTCAGATTTGGAAAAGAATCACGGCCTATATATAAAGCAGATCTGTATGTAATTAAAATAAGATATTAGTATTTTCTTGAAATCTTCAATTATAACATATACAATATGTTTTGGAGAAGCATTATAAGCCTGTGAGAATTATATAGCATTATAGAATTCATATCCCAACAACAAAATAAGCATATGCTATCACATCAGGTGTTTTTGTCTTCACACCTTTATTTTTTCTCATAGTGTCATCTTTAGGGGTTGGAAATTATTACTGTCTCTTCTTTGGTTAGCCATTACAGATTTTTTTATCCTTAAAGAAAATTTGCCTATTTTGTTAGCAGGCTAATATAAAGGAGAATACTGCATTTCCTTTTTTAAAAAAATACTTGGAAGAATAACCTTTCTTTGTAAGTTTTCTAGGTCTTATGGATTTTTTTTTCATAAATGAAGGGGTGAAGGTAATGTTATGAAGAAAGATGGAGATGTTATAAGACTCTTTCAATCTAAGCCAAAGATGAAGATGTTATGAGACTCTTTGATTCTAAGCCAATGTTTTAATAGTGTTATTCACATGGAAGTTGATGCACTTGTATTTATTTGGTTGCAGTAAAAGGGAAAAAATGGGGCAGCTAGGTGGCACAGTGGATAGAGCACTGGCCCTGGATTCAGGAGAACCCAAGTTTAAATCTGGCCTCAGACACTCACTAGTTGTGTGACCCTGGGCAAGTCACTTAACCCCATTGCCTAGCAAAAAAAAAAAAAGGGAAAAATATACTGGATATGTTGGTTACAAAAGACACAGATCTGTGCAGCCAAGTAGTCCCCTACTGCGGTAGCTAAGTGGTGCTGTGAATCTTGAGTTCAAATGTGGACTCATATGCTTCCTAGCTGTGTGATCTTGGGCAAGCCACTTAACTGCTATCTGCCTCAGTTTCCTCAACTGTAAAATGGGGATCATAATAGCCCCTATCTCTCAGGGTTGTTGTGAAGTTAGAATGAGATGATATTTGTAAAGCATTTAGCACAGGGCCTAGGACATAGTAAGAACTTAATAAATACCTATTTCTTCTCTCCCAAGAAATTTTTAATGTGTTATTAAATGCTATGATGTGGAGGGCAAAGGACTTCCTTTAGGGTCAGAAAAACTCAGGTTCAAGACTTGCTTCTGACAAATGCTAGCTATAAAAACAAGGACAAACCATTTAACCTCACATTTCTTCTCAGTAACTCCTGAGAATTGAAAGTTTGAGAGCATTTACTATCTACATTGGTGAAGAGAGTTTCCACACATTGGAAGTTCCACATTCCAATAACATCTCTGGTCTAGACCATCTGCCCCCCAAAAAATCCTTATAGGAAATATATTTTACTATCATTGAGCACTGATTATGCTTTATCCTCTATCTAGATTTTTCTCATTTTGTATAAAAAGAACAATTTGAAATAAACAGTTTTTATTTGAGGACAAGATTAACTTCTGCTGATGGTGTCTTTCTTTACTCAGCAGGATATAAGTTATATGTTTAACATGGCATAGATAATCCAAATGAACCCATCGCTGATGGGATACTATGTCCATCATTAATTCGTATTTATTGAGATCTCCTTGAGTGCATGTCATTGTGTCTTACAAAAAGACTTAACTGTTCATGAGCTGCTTTCCACAGAAGAGACATTTGTTTATTCCATTTTTAGATTTATTCCTTTTTAACTCCAATAAAGTCCTTACTCTTTTACTTATAAATATGACCTTTTATGTGTTATAGACCCCTTTGGTAGTCTAGTAAAGCCTATGAATCCCTTCAGAATAATATTTTAAATGCATAAAATATTAGGTTTATAGGCGTGTTTGTGTGTGTGTGTGTGTGTGTGTGTGTGTGTGTGTGTGTGTGTCTCTAACCGGGATCCATAAACTTAAATATATATATTTATATCTATCTATCTATCTATCTATCTATCTATATGTATATGTATAAATATATGAACTTATATATATTTAATATATATAAACATATATTTAGATTTAAATTTATTAATTATCATTTCATTATTAATTAATTAATAAACATGTTAAATACATAAGTTCATATATTCATATAGATTATATATTTTTAAGTTCACGTATCTCAGGTTAAGAACACTTGCTCTAGAAGAAGGGCAGAGAAAAGAATTAAGGAAATATTACACTTTTTTCCCCTCCTCCAATCACAAGTTACAAAGGCAAAGCAACCAGGACAATTCTGTTCAGACAAACAAAAGTAGCATAACTTCTTTAAATCATATAGGCAGAAAATGAAAGGAAAAAAAGAGATAAGCTGTGATTGCATTTATGTACTTACTTGTGCTCCTCATTTAAACTGAATGTACCTGCACTTGGAAACAAAGGTTCTAAGTTTAATGAGTCCAGTGAGATGAAAACACTATTTAGAAGAGCAAGTTCATTGTGTTTCCTGCTGTTTGTTACTTGAACACTAGGGGGCAGCACTAAAATATTCTATTATTGTTTGTTATTGATTATGCACATACTGTATACTAAGTGCCAGGTTTTATTGTTTCAGAGTATTGAATGTCCCATTGATCTCAGTGGGTAAAGATGTATGTAGAGGAAGACAGGCATTTCTAGACCATTGTTTCTGCTTTAGTCAGAGGATGCTTTGAAAGACTCAGAAACGTTTTCCCATCCTGTATTTGCTACAGAATCGCACATTAACTTAAAGCAGTATAATTTTTAGCAGCTGCAGACTTTGGAGTTGGTAGAAATTTTTTTTCACATAATTCTATTTTCTTTTCTGACCCTGTTTCCTAGGCACTTTGGAAAGACATGAAACAGGAGAGAGAGCAAAAGTGATTCTTAATTGTTGTGAAGATTCACAGCTTTTTAAGCCTGAGCCTTTACTTGCAGTCGCTTCAGAAGCACACAAGCACAAACATGCAGATTACAGATCCTCCAGTTCCTCCCAACTTGGCACCTTGTCTTATCCTATTCCTCATGCCGAATCTTCACCTAAGGTAAGTCAAAGCCAGATTGTTATCTCACAAGGCCAGTCAATAACAGAAGTTAAAAAAAAAAGTAAAGTGATAATAAAACTGATTTGAAATATTGACACATTTCCAGCAGAATTCAAAGACTTGACCATTCCCTACATTTCATCACTTCTGCCTAGGTATTTATGGATAATATCTTCCTACATTTGACAATGGCATATAGTGCACAGTTTCTGAAAAATGAAGTTTTCTTTTCCTGTTCACGATGACTGAGCCAGTTTATTGTGAATTCTGTGCGATAGACAATTTGAATACTCCTTAGTCTGGAGAAGGATAAATGTCTAAGTTCCTCAATTTGGCTCTTGTCATCTTTCAGCAGAGCGTTTGTATTTGTTTCTAAATGTGAATATTTAAAAACTATAAAAGAAAAAATATAGACTAAGGGGTGTCAAATGTATCTCTGTTCTTTGGTATATTCAGCATTGATGGGTTAAAATTTGGTTCCTATATATTAGCAATATACACACACACATACACATATACATACCCACATATACATACATACATACATACATACACACATATTCCTAACATTTGTTTATATCAGCACAGAGGGTAGTCAAGCTACTAAGCAGTAATTTTCTCTGTAAGGATTACTCTTACTTCTAAATAATTACCTGTAGAGTGAATTAAATAACAGCTCAGTTAAGTTGCCTTGAGATACTAGATTTACTTAATTTTGCTTGCTCCACACCTTCCAAAAAAAAATCTACAAAAGAAAGAGAGAAAAAACAAATATCACAACAAGCCAACTCCAAGAAGATATACAAGAAAATGGCAACAACTGTTGAATTTAATGTTGACTTTTTCCACAGCAATGTGGAAATGGACAAGCAAGGAGCATAGATAGCCAACCACTTATTAATCTGAATTTTACTTTACAAACAAATGCTATGTACCAATGTATTAATATTATATCTGTTTTTGATGATATTCTAGTTCTTTTGTATATTTTATATGCAAAACATCACTTTGAGATAGAAGAAATAAGTCTTTTTTAATTTTTAAAATTTATTTTTTTTTTAACTTTTAGGCAATTGGGGTTAAGTGACTTGCCCAGAGTCACACAGCTAGTAAGTGTTAAGTGTTTGGTCTGAGGCCAGATTTGAACTCAGGTACTCCTGACTTCAGGGCCAGTGCTCTATCCACTGCAGCACCTAGCTTCCCCCTAAGAAATAAGTCTTAAGTCTAAGATGTTACCTTTTAATGCAGGTAGGTCAATTAAAATTCTTAGTCTCCTTTCTCTTTTTGCCATAGGAGTGATGTGTTTCTCCTATATTCAGCAGTATGGTGGAATAGGAGCAATTCTTGCATATTTCATTAGAAAGGGCATGGTATTTTGAGTAAGAAAGCCTAGGTTCCAATTCTATCTCTGTCACTTATTACTTTCCTGACCCTGAGCAAATCATTAAACCTCTCTAGGCCTCAGTTTTCTCATCTATAAAACGAGTTATACCAGATGACCTCTACAATCCTTTCTATCTCTGTTTCTATGATCTTCTGTTCTTATGAACACTTAGATGAATAGAAAGTAAGAAGAGTTTTGCAAATAATTTATCAGTGGATCAGTCTCATGCCAGGAAGTAGAGGGTCAGTTATCACCCCATGTCCTAGGAAGTTCACCTTGGCTTAGGTCTTCCTTCCTTCCTTCTTCCTTTCTTCCTTCCTAGGAATGAGATTCAAATCCCACCTCTAACACTGTGTGACCTGAGGCAAATCATTTAACTCCACTGGGCCTCAGGTTCCTCAACTATAAAATGAGACAGTGACATTAGATAGCCTCTGAAGTCCCTTCAAAGTCTAGATCTATTATCATTTAAACCTTCAAATATTTGAAATGTAAAAATATTATGGATTTTATTATCCCTTGCTTTATCACAGCTAATAAAAACATATGTCATATATTTCATATGAGCTTTCCTTCAGTTTTTCTAAGCTACAGAATAGTGGAGGCACCATCTTGGTTTCTTTAACTCCTTCTATCCTGGAACCTTCTTTCTTATCTGCAGTCGTTGTACCTAACAAGTACTGGATAAAACTAACTTTCCTTCATCTGAGTAGAGAGGAGATTGGAAATCCAAAGATGCCCTGTTCGCTTAACTCTTTTATGTTATTAACTGAAAACTCTTAAGATTTAAATATCAGAATTCTTCAATTTGAATTATCAGGGATCATATTGCTATTTTTTTCTCTATGAATTTTGGAAAATTAGAGACATACCTGAGTTTGCTTGAAACAAGGAATGCATAGGTAGATACAGTTTCTTTCATTAGTATTGAATGACCAGAAAGGGATTTGGGATTCTGTTCATTTTATTTTTTTATTTAATTTTTTTGTTGCATACTAATTTCCAAACTATCTCCCTCCCTCCCCACTCTGCAGAGAAGGCCACCTACACACACACACACACACACACACACACACACACACACCCTTACTATACATACTTCTATTTATCAGTTCTTTCTCTAGAGGTGGATAGCTTCTTCCTTCATAGGTCCTTTATAGTTGATGTGACTATAATATTCAAAATAACTTAGTCATTCACATTTGTTCTTTGAACAATATCACTATTACTATATACAACGTTCTCTTGGTTCTGCTTGTTTCACTCTTCATTATTTCATGCAATTCTTTCCATGTTTTTCTAAAATTAAATAGCCCATTCCTTATAGCACAGTAGTATTCCATCACACCCATTTACCATAATTTGTTTAGCCATTCCCCAACTGATAGGCATTCCCTCAATTTCCAGTTCTTTGCCACCACAAAGAGAATTTTAGAGCATATTCGCTCTTTGTCTTTTCCCCTGATCACCTTGGGAAACAGATCTGATAATGGTATTTCTGGATCAAAGGATATACCTAGTTTTATAACGCTTTGGATATAATTCCAGATAGCTCTTCAAAATGATTGAATAAGTTCAAAGTTCTACCAACAGTGTTTTATTAGAGTCCCAGTTTTTTCACATCCCCTTAACATTTATCATTTTCCCCTTCTGTCATTTGAGCCAATCTGAGATGATATCTCAAAGTTGTTTTAATTTACATCTCTCTAATCAATAATAATTTTGCAGTTTTGATTTCTTCATTGAAAAACTGCCTATTCAAATCCTTTGACAATTTTTCATTTGGGGAAGATGCTGTTCATTTTAAAGATATGAAAAGAGAGGCCTACTCAAGCTCACAAAAGCAATGTGTTCATGATAGGGCTTCTGGAAACAGTGTATCAGGAAACCATTTGAGGATTGTAGTGGGCTACTGACTAAACATAATTTAGCACTATGGTGGACAGTATAGGTAGGAGGGCCTCCCACAGATCATGTGACGTTCTCCTCCCTCTTTAGTTTACATTATTTGGCCTTCATTAAAATACCATATTCACTTTTTCCGCATCAAATATGAAATGACCCTGGAGAAGACTTAGAACAGAGGATCAAATAGCATGAGCAAATTGTTAAGTAGGTTATATGAAAAAAAGCTAAAGAATGGATTTTATAAACCCAGAAGGGAACAAAAAAAGCAAAAACTTTGAGAGTAAGGAAAAATTACTTATTCATCAAAAATATATAATATAAATATATATATATATTATATATCTATATTAGAAAAGGAAAGTTGCTTTTCTCTTTTTCTATTGAGGAAGGTAATTCTTATTTATTGAGCATTTTATACTTAAAGAACATATCTTAGAATAACTTCAGGATATTATGGAAGTATTACTATTACATTTTATAGATGAGGGAACTGAGGTTTGAAAAAGTTGTTACTTTGCCATAGTTACAGAATTAGTAAGTGGATGAGTAGTTTTGTGTTTGTTCCATTGACAACCTGTCCCACAACATGTGGCAGAACAAAAATAAAATAACAAAATAGAAGAACAAAAGGAGGAAATGAGTTTAGAAATCAGCAATCTTTTTTTTTTTTTTTGCTCAGATCATGGCTGAAACATTTACAACTGAATTTCCTGGGAGGCACAAAATATTTTGGTTTTAAAAGAATTTCTCTAGATTTCTTCTCTACACAGTGAAGAATAAAATAACCATTTTGCAAAAAAAAAAAGTCACCCCATCTGGGGGGTCCTTCCAATGACCTTTTAAAAGTCATTTTCTTTTGGGACTTGTGCTCCCCTAATACTATCTCAGATTCTTGATAGCATATGGGGGCCAGAAGGAGGTAATTGTTGTCCAATCACTTTCATCTGTGCTTGAAGAATTTTTTTCCCCTCATGCTTTCATTCAATCATGTGACAGTTGTCATAGAATGAACATTGAACTTATTAGCTATGCAATATTTGGCAAGCCACAGCCCCTATTTTTTCCCCCTCCAATCAATAAAATGAGAATGGTATTTTCCTTACATAGAGAGGCAGCATGAGGTAGTGAATCACACAAAGACTTATAATCAGGAAGTCTTGAGTTCTAATCTCACCTCAGACACTGCCATGTGACTCTCTAGGAAAGTCATATAACCTTTTCAAAACGCTTTTTTCTCATTTCTAAAATGAAAAAAGTGATAATCCCTTCCCTATAAGGTTGTGTGAAGATGAAAGATAAGGTAATCTATATGAAATACTTTATAAATCTTAAAGTGCTTTGTAAATATGAACTTCAACCATAACTAATTCTACCTGATAGTATTATTATAATCAAGTGAGTTTAATATATGTAAAATACTTGATAACTATAAATTAGCTAATGTTATTACTATTGCTTGTTTGCTTTTCTTTGTATCCTTAGTACTTAGCACAGTGCCTGGCCTCTGGTAGGTGCCTAATAGATGCTAGCTCACTGCCTGACTGACTTAGTGACTTTATGAAAATTAAGCAGCGAAGTCCTTTGAGCACTTAATTTGTGTTGAATGTTGCATTACGTGTTGTGGATGGTTATAAAAGAATCAGAATATCTAGTGTTCCCTGACCTTCCAGAGTTTATGGCCTAGTTCTTCAAGTAAGCCCTACTCAGC